TAAGAGCATGCCTTCATCATAGCAAGAGACATTTGCCTTTGCTAGGAAGGCTCAGGAAGTATCCAATGGCACAATAGTATTCTCATCAAATCTGATAGTGTGGGTGTATATGAAAACTCATTTGCTCCTAGTAATCACCCTATGAAGAAGTTTGTTGCAATGTAACAAGTAGAAAATGGAGTGAGTGGATAGAAAACAAGATAGGATGATTAAAAAGCTATTTTGAGTTAGTTATTAGGGGAATGCAAATCAAAACCACACTCAGAACCACTACATTGGTCATTTAGAAAAAAGTACAAAACCCCAGAGAATAACACCCATCAATGCATTTTGCTGGTGGGAAAGCAAAGTGGTGCTGGCTGCTGCAGGAACATGTATTCCCTCAGAAAGTTAGGCACAGAATTTCCATATCACCGAGCAGTTTTACCCCTAACTAAGCACCTAGAAGAATTGAAAGCAGGGGGAATATCACTCAGGTTAAAAGGAACAGTGAAATGGCAGGTAGAATGTGGCATTAGCAGAGGACAGCAGTTTACTGACTGGGAACATGTAGAGAAGTAGGAGATGAAACAGCAAGGCTTTGAAAACGCCACATAGCTCAAGAGTTCTAAGATAGATTTCTCCCTCCTTCCCTCTCTGCCTCGTCTCTCTCTCCCTTCTGTTTCTGGGGATGGAACACAGGGCTTCAGGTATGCAAGGTAAGTACTCTTTCACCAAGCTATACCTCCAGCCCTATTATCCCCCCCCTTTTCTTTTACACTGATTGATTCTCTGTGTGTGTGTGTGTGTGTGTGTGTGTGTGTGTGTAGGCCAGAGGACAACTTGTGGGAGTCAGTTCTTTAATTCCACCATGTAGGTTCTGGGGATCAAACTCAGGTGGTCAGGCTTGGGCAGTAAGTGCTTTTTACCCACTGAGTCATCTGGCTGGCTCATGAACTTGTTTTTTCATTATAATAATTTTGTTTCTCAGTCTACATTACAAACTGCTTGAGCATAGACATTTATATACTTTATATAAATATTTCTGTGATTTTTTTTGTCAACATCCATGCATAGGTTTTTTGTTTGGATACCTTTTGTTTTCATTTCTCCTGACCATATATTTTGAAGTGGAATTGTTGGGTATTATGGTTATTCTATGTTTAACTTTTTTTTTTCTTTTTGGTCTTTCTGAGACAGGGTATGGGGGCGCAGGAATCTCGGGGCGCCAGCTGCTGGGCGTGGCTCCGGTTTCCTGCGTGCACCTGGGGTGCAGCGGGTCCCGCACCGCGTCGCTGTGGGTCTCTGCTACTGGGGCTGGCCCGGTCGGGTTCTGTCCCAATTTCCACCGTGCACTCCCTCGAGATACGAAATCCACCGGCCGCTGGATCACGTGGGGATGTGTGAGGATGGCGAAAGCTGGATTTCCGGCTGAGTCGATGACGGAAGGATAGCGCCCCCCGGGGAGACTGGACCGTAGGCAGTAAGACACAGGACTCAGCTCAGTCAGTGGTACAGCCCCTTTATTCAGTGACTCAGCTCGGCTCCAAGCCTTAGTGATCCAGCTCTGATTATTGAGGGAAAACCAGGATACTTTATACTGTGGTACCCCCACAGTAAAGTGGTAAAAGCCTTAGCTGATAGGTACTTTTAGGATGCCTCATTTACATGTGGTGGTGGGGTCCTGCCAGGCTGCCAGACATTGTCTGAAAATCACACAGGAAAAGCTGGCAGTTTCAGAGCCAGAGGCCATGTTTATGGTAGGGCATCTGTGGCGGTCACTTCACAGATGAGTCAGGAAGATGCTGGGAAGGCACCCTTTTGATAAAGGGAGTGTCTGCATTTGAATCCGAGCCCGTGGGCTTTCTGGACATGGAGAAACTGCTACTTTACACAGCAGGAGTCCCCAACAACAGGGTCTCTGTAGCCCCAGCTGGCCTGGAACTCGCTATGTAGACCAGGCTGGCCTTGAACTCAACAGAGATCTACCTGACTCTGCCTCCTGAGTGCTGGGACTAAAGGTGTGCACCACCATGCCCAGCCTATATTTAACTTTTTGAGGAAACACCAAGCTGTTTTCCACAGCTGCAGCATCATTTTGCAGTCCCACTGGCAAATGTGCAAGGGTTCCAATTTCTCTACATCCTTGCCAACTGTGGGAATTCTGGTAACTTCTAAGTATATCTATCCCAATTATACTTTCTGGAACTGGGGAAATAATCATAGGACAGGTTTGGGGAGCCATTGGACTCAGAGTCAGATTTCAGCCAAAACTCCATTTATCACCTGACCTCCATAAGCCCCTACTTTAACTGGAAGGCCACAGTGCTTTTTAGGGTCTCCCAGAATCAGTGTCAACTCAGAACCAGTATCCAATAGGCCTCAGAAAGTCTGATTATTTCCTTATTTACCATAGTAAATGGCCACAGGGCCCTCGGGGGAAGGATGAAGAGAAAGACTAACATTATAACTCTTAGGTATTGTAACAAGGTCCTCCCTCAAAGAGACTCAGTCTTCCCTTCATTCAAGGAGTTCTGGTTCTGTAAACTGGCTCAAGTTTAGAAACTGGTTGACTGGATGAGATTCCCCATTGCTATTATCCAATGTAGACTTTCTGTCATTTGTTCTAGAGCTTTTCTGCTTGCACAATCAAATAAAAACTTAGTAGGCTTCCTATATATTTTGTCCCTGAAAATACCATGATTGATTAGCCAGTACCAAAAGTCCATGCAAGTTTTGCCACTACATGCATTGTTTTGCCTTTGCTGCCCATCACGGTAGCTATGCTCATCTTGCCTTTAAGTCAATGCTGCCACTTGGCCCCTATTCCAAGGTCCAGTTAAATCCATCACATTTAATTTATGCAATTGAGCAGCGGCATCTCCAACTCTGGCACAAGGAAAAGAGCAAAAACACAACCCTTCAAGTGTGCTGGTGCTTTTCTCACCATTTTATGTATTACAACATCAGTGAAAGGCAAGTCCTTTGGACCCTCCTATTGTAGAGGATTCAGTTTTACACAGCAAATCCACTTGAGCATTCTAATTTGCCTGAGCCTTAAAATCCCTTCATCAACTAACCCAAGGGATACCAGGCATCTCCAGTTCTTTCTCAGTAGGCCATCTTTTGATAAATACTTCAGCCAACCAACCACACTTTTGGCACCTTTTTAAACTGCCTGAGCTTCCATATTAAACCTAGAATCTCCACTCACTGGACCCATGTTGATAAACTCAACATGATCCAATTCTATGCTTCACTATTATCCCATACTCTTAAAATCCATTCCCACATATTTTCCCAGACTTCTTAAATGAATTAACAGACTCCCTACGTTCTTTAGTGGTGTAGTGCACTCATGGACCACACTTTCTATCTCACATCTAGGGGACTGCTTAGCCTTGAGTCTGACCTAGAGGCAACACTTGGTGGATGCGGTGAGACATTAGCATTGTCTGGCCATTCCTTCAGGCAAGGATGGGGAGGGTGGTTCTGCAGGGGTTGGGGTGAGATGCATTTTCTGCTGAGGGTGGAAAGATGAATTTACCAAGTGAAATAAACCCTTCAGAGTCTGAGGGTTCTAAGTCCTCAGCCTCATTAGGGTTCTCCCACACATCTCCAGCCTAAGTTACTGGATCCCACTCTTGCTCTAAGAGTACCCTCACTTTTATTGCTGATACTCTTTGAGGCTAGGAATTAAATTTGTGTTAAAAGTCAGCCAAATGTATAATAAGGGCTTTGGCTTGATTTTCTGCAATTTGAGCTCCATGGCTGCTGGAGAGAAGGCTCTCTTCCAGGGCACATTTAGAAACCATTAGGCTGTTGATGCGAATCTGGAGTGGGTGAATTTTATCATTGAGCTCATGCTTTTCCCATCATCACTTTATCCAGAAACGCTAGAAGCAGCCAGTCAGCATCATTGTTTTCCTTATTTTTCCACAAATTGTCAAATGTTTTATATATAGAGTCACTGAATTCCCTGTTCCTCACAAGAGGTGAATTGGAAATTATCTTCATAATTTCTTTAAATAGTTTACACTATGGGTTTTCAGTGTTCTCCATGCTACCAGGGGAGTCTTTAGCAACTGTAGGTTTCCCTGAGTTAGAGAACCTGCTTCAGATACCACCAAGCCCACTGAAGAAATTCATCCTTTCAACTATGTTTCTCTAGAACCACACCTGGTACCACAATCTGTGTTAGTCAGGGCTCAGGGTTCTCTAAAGGAACAGAACTGATAAAACTTATTAGATTGGCTTTCAGGATAGAGTCTGAGTAGTCCAACAATGGCTGTATCACGCTGGAAAGGCTGAGAATCTGGTAGTTGCTCAGTCCATGAGGCTGAATGTCTCAGCAGTCCCAATCTGGCACTGGAGGCCTGAAGTATTCCTGGAGATCTACTAGTCTTCAGTCTACATTGGAATCCGAAGAAGTTGGTTCTTCTATCAGTGGAGGAATGCCATGGCAACAAGATGAACTTGCCAGTGAGAGAGAAGGCAAGCAGGCAAAAAATGAAAGTGCCATTCTGCCATAACCTTTTTATACGGGCTGCTATCAGAAGGTAACACCCACATTTAGGGTGGGTCTTCCATCTTCAAATAATCTGATCAAGAAAGTCTCATTTCAGTTAATTCCAGCTCCACAGCTCCAGTCGAATTGACAACCAAGATTAGCCATCACACCAACATTTGTTATTTTCTATTTCTCTATCTTGCCCTATGTCTTTAAAAAAATATTTTATTTGTATGTATATATTGCCTGCATGTAGATAAGTGCATCCGTGTCATGCAATGCCCCAGGAGGTCAGAAGAGGCTGTTGGATCCCCTGGGACTGGAGTTATGAACAGTTGTTAGCTGCCATGTGGTTGCTGGGATTCAAACCCGGGTCTTCTGTAAGAACAGTCAGTGTTCTTAACCACTGAGCCATCTCTCCAGCCCCACCCTATGTCTTTATTTAAATTGATAAATGAAATTTTACATATTTTGGTGTATCTCATGATGTTTTGAAGTATAGGTATACATTAAAAATATGGAATGCCTTATAAAAGTTTCATGCCATCTGGCACAAAAGCCATGCTACCATTCTCTGTATCATTTCATTTTTTAGTGTATGTACTGCCAAAGCAAGTATGCCCCAAGTTTTCACAAAAAATTTAACCATGTCTGACTGCCCCAAAGGCTTGTGGGTTGTGTCATTGTGTTTGGTGATTGACATGGCTTTGGAGTGCAGGGAGGCACTGAGCTGTTAAAATGCTAAGACAAATAAAATTAACTTGTCAAATCTTTCATTTTAGGTAGAATGAATGCAATAGATTCTTGTGTGACATGCTATTTGCCAGTAGTGTCGAGTGTCCATTTTCTTGCTATTCTTTGAGTTCTAATCCCTGGTCTGGGTGCCCATGAATTAGTGTAGTGTAGTATTCACAATATTGTATGATGGCCAAGGAACATTTTGTATTCTTAAACAATTTATTTTAAAAATTTTCCATTTAGACCTAAATACAGCATATATAAAGAGAATTTTCATTATTGACAGTTGTTCTGGACAGTGAACACTAAAATTGCAAGTTGTTTCACTTTAATGAAAACATTTGATTTAAAAATTCAAAAAACATGGGGCTGGAGAGATGGCTCAGTAGTTATAAAAACAATAAATAAAATATTTTAAAAATTCAAAAACATTTGATGAAATGTTCAGCTCTTACATAGGAACTTTGCCTCCTATTATCTTCCCTGGAAGAAAAGAATACTTGGTATTTTTAGCAACAAGATTCACAACAAAGGGCTGGAGAGATGGCTTAGCAGGTTAAGAGTGCTGGCTGCTCTTGCAGAGAACCCAGGTTCAGTTCCCTGGACCTACACGGTAGTTAACAACCATCCATAACTCCAGTTCCAGGGGATCCAATGTCCTCTTCTGACCTCCACGGGCATTGCATGCATGTGATACACTTATATGCAGGCAAAACACTCATACATATAAAGTCAAAAAAAAAAAAAAAAAAGACTTAAAATCAAGGATTCCAGCCCAACCTACCCTCCTTCCCCATTCTCTTTGCTTATGCATATTTTGTCTTCCTTCCCACCTAAGTGGGAGTGAAGTGAGGTCTGAGTAGAAAACTTGAGCTATGGCTTTGGTTGGGGTTAGGGGATGTATATGGGGGCATTTGTCTGCTGGAGGAGTGGTAGATTGGTAGGGTCTGGGTTGGAGGAGTGACTCAGCTTTATTGTCCCATTCTGCCCAGAGTCTTGAGGTTCCTGTTATTCGAGCCAAGCCAGCACTTTGAGCTGCTCCCTCCAGAAGCCCTCAGAGCCATTGAGCTGGCATCTATGTTTTCTTAGGACCAGAAGTTAGAGTATTTCCCTCTCAGGGACCTTCCTTTCCACTGGGGTTTCTGAAAGCTTATCCTTCCTAAAATTGGAAAAGGAAGTGAAATGGATGGGGGCAGGTCCCCTGGTCATTCTCCCAGTTACTCTGTGGATCATTAGAGATCGGGTTATTTTCAGAGAAGGGAAAAGAGTTGAACCTAGATACCAGGGGTAGGGTGGTAAGAAATCCTAGCAGACAAAGGAAGAGGTGTGTGAATAGGGAAAGGTCAGCCAGGGGAACAGAAAGCTAGAGCTAGGAACTAGGAGCAGAGGAGTCTTTGTTCTCACCATCTCTCTGGGTCACAATGAACAAGCCAAATACTACTGGTTCTTAGGGAAGGCTATACTTGGGGATTTTAGACCTGCCTTTTAATTCTGGAACTGTCCCTAAAGAATCATGCTATCTTGGGGTTTCTGGGAGTGTTTTCTCTTCAGAGATATTAGCACAGACTTTGGATTCAGACAGATCCTGTCCCTAACACATGTATGATCTTGGACAACCTTAGAATTAAAAAAAAATTAATTATTTTTTAAATTTATTTTTTATTTAATTATTAAATTTTTTTTGTGTGTGTATGATTATATTACCTGAATGTATATAAGTGCACCCGTGTCGTGCAGTGCACATGGAGGTCAGAAGAGGGAGTTGGATCTCCTGGAACTGAAGTTACAGATGGCTGTCAGTCACCATGTGGGTGCTGGGAACTGATCCCAGGTCCTCTGCAAGACAGCCAGTGCTCTTAACTGCTGAGTCATTTCTCCATTCCCAACCTTAGAATTTTTAAACCTGAGACTCTCAATTACTTCATTTATAAAATGGGGCAATAACACATTAGAGTTGTATTACAGTTTTCTAATTCTAAGAATACAATATCATGAACCAGGTGAGTTATAAAGAAAGGAGGTTTATTTTGGCTCACAGTTGTGGAGCTTCAAGATCATGTGGTGGGGAGCTTTGGTTTGCCTTCTGGTGAAGGTCTTCTTGCTGGGGTCCAAAGGTAGCACAGTCTATCACATATCAAGGACAGATAATGTGTGTATGAATTTGTCTGTCTTCTGGTCTTTTTCTCTTCATCTTTATTCTAATGGGGTACCATATGATGTTTTGATACATGTATTCATTGTACAATGTTTAAATCAGGTTAAATGTCTATCTCCTCAAATTCTCTTCTTAAAAAGCTACCAGTAAGTCAAACATGGGGCTCTGCCTGATGGCCATGTCTAATCCTAATCACTATCCACTATAGTTGGTTAGTTTCATTTGGTATTCCTCTGAATACCATTCTCATATGATTAAGGTTTCAACATGTGAATTTTGGGGAACACACTCACACCACAGTAGTTGTTCCGAGGATTAAATAAGTAATCAGTGGGATGTAGGTGATTCAGGATCACAGAATAACAGTGGGTTTGAGCAACTGCCTCCAGCTGGAAGTGTAACCACTCAACCAATTCCACCCCTGTAGGAAGAAATAATAATGCCATGTTCACGGGGCTTTGCTGAGATAGGTGCATGAAACCACTTACTAGGGCTGTGTACAAAGTGAAGGATTATTTTTGTTCTTAAGCTTGTTCTCTAACAAAGAATGAATAAATACTGAATTGGCCAAAAAGGGAGAGTGAGGGAAGGAATGTGAATCTTAGAAGAAGTAGCAAAAAGCTTGAATAATTCCCACACTGTTTCTAACACTGATAATTAAGCCAGAATTCCAACAAACAGTTCATATCCATGGGAGGAAGGTAAAGAATTGGGTTGGGGAGTTCTCAAAAGAGGGCAAAGAAACCCACTGCTATCAAACCCCAGGAAGGCATGGGAAGTCCTAGCCTGCTGAAGGAAAAGAGGGAGTCTCTCCAGTCCCAGTTCTCTGTCTCCCTTTGTGACCTCCACTCCCTTGTGATCCACAAAGCACAGATCCTGGCCTTGAGCCAAGAATGCTGCTTTCCAATTCCTTCCACCTGGCAGCTAGTGAGCAGATTCAAATATGCTCAGGGTTGGAGTCCAGAGAGAAAGACAGGCGCTCTGCTGTCCTCTAATGGAGGCTAGCTCACACCTCCCTCTGCCCCTCTAGTCCAGAACAGAATTCGTCTAACTTCCCCCCTCCCATGCCCTTCATTTCTCCTTGGCCATTCTGAACCAGGACATGCCAGGACCAGAGCTCTGCTGGTTCTGAGCTCCACTGAGAGGCTAGGTCACGAGTGTTCCTCCCTCAGGAGCTTAGTCCATCGGTTGTGCCAGGGAAATGTTTCCACAGATTAGTGCTTCTTGGGGTGGGGCAGCAGTGGCAGGTGGCAGGAACATGGCAGGGAAGAGAGCAAAGTTGCAGGAGTCCAAGGACAGCAGCTTTCTTTGTCTGGCCCTAGCCTCTAGAACCAGGAGTGCTGAGGTTCTTCTCAAAGTGTTCACCTCAGGTTCACTTGTCAGTGACCACCTGATGCTACATAAATCCCTTTATTTGACCAACTGTGGTGGTGCCTGCCTGCAGCTTTCTAGTTTCACTGAGTCCTATTACGGTTGTGGAATAGACTGGAGAGTGGAGGAAAGAGGCAGGGACAGGAGAGGCTAAGAGGCAGCTAGAGGCTAGAAGACAACCCAGCTAGAGCACCCTAAATTAACAGTCTATTCAGATAAAACCTGGCTGAGACTTTTCTCAAAATCTGCATTTGTTAAGTCAGGCTGGGAAGGTGGGACAGTTAAATAACCAGCATAACATAGGCTAGTACCTAAGACAGGAGAGACCAAAAAGCAGTAAATGCCACTCAGTGGAGGAACACAGATGTTGAGAGGAAAAGAGGCCAGATTCTGCTCATCTTCTTTCTCTCCTTGGCGTTGCTCTCTGCTGAGTGGGGGAGGGAGTCTGGCAGGTGAGCTATGAATTACAATGTGGTTTTGGCCAAACCCTCCATCAACATCGGCTTTCCGCCTTGGGTTAGTCCTGGCCTAGTGTTGGGCATCCCTACCCCAGTTGGCTCCTTGCCTCATAGTTCATGCAGGTGAGGAACTGGCTTCCTGTCGGTGTCAGCATTCTGGATCAACTCAAAGATGAACTTCACCTGGGTCTCATATGCTTGGACTGAGATCTTCTCATTGGTTCCATGGATACTGAGGGAAGAAATATTTAGGAGAGGAGAGAAGGGCCAAACGCTACAGCACAAGTGCCATCACAGGGCACTCATCCTGCCTCTCCTCTCATCACCTGACACCACTGATCTTTGACCTTCCAACTGGACAAGGTGAGAGAAACATATGTCAGTGATGACATACACGTGACATACTTGTCATTTCTCAAGTTATCTATGCTTATGGCAAAGAACAGTGAGGAAAATAATGAATAAATTCCTGGGGACTTCACTCAGCTTTCTGTTCTGAGAAATTCAATAATTACCTCTCTGGTAGAACTATCTTCCTGATTCTTTTCTCTTAGGACAGAGTTTCCTGCTAGGTTTTTTCTAAGCTTCCATTTGCTAGGGTAAGGGAGGGTAGGAAGGCAACTGGCTGGGACACCTATCAGATTCTATTTCATCTAGGAACCCTGCTGTCAGATCTCATGCTCACTCACCAAGTGATAATCAAACCACACTTTTTCTTTTGAGATAGGGTCTCACTGTGTAGTCCTGGCTGGCCTAGAACATACTATGTAGACCAGGCTGGCCTTGAACTCGGAGATCTGCCTGCCTCTGCCTCCTGGATACTGGGATTAAACGTGTGTGTGCATCACCATGCCAGGCCTCAAACTATACTTGTAACCCCAATGATGATAGGAAACAGAGCAGCCACTAACCCTTCCCCCACTTTAACAAATGCAAACATAAAAGATATTCTTAAGATCATATTTAAATAATTTCATTCTATCTACAAGTGGTTTGTGGTATGGCAAAGAAATCAAGTCTGGATGTGATTCATTGCAGAGAGTTAAATGGAAACTATCTTCCCATACCTCAGGATTCAAAATTTGCTGACAGCTGGGTGTGGGTGTGGTGGTACACACCTTTAGTCCCAGCCCTTGGGAGGCAGAGGCAGGCAGATCTCTATGAGTTCAAGGCCAGCATGGTCTACAAAGTTGCAGGCCAGCTGGGGCTACAGGGAGACCCTGTCTCAAAAAGACCAAAAAAAAAAAAAATTGCTGAGAAATCCACAAAACAGTCATGCATGGCAGTTAAAATTGGTGCTCTGACCTTAGATTTCTGTAGTATTTCCTCTGAGAAGGCAAACACATGCCCACCTTTGAGTTCAAGTGTTGGCTTTTTCAAAGAGTGTTGGAGGGTCTCCATATTTTATAGGTAAAGAAAGTGAGGCCCAGGGGTGAGTATGCTCCCAAAGGGAGGAAGAACACAAAGGGATTTTTCTTTTCTTCTTTTTTTAATGAGTGTATTGCCTGCATGTGTCTAAGTGTACCTGTGTCATGCAGTGCCCATGGACATCAGAAGAGGGGGTCGTCGGATCCCCAGGAACTGAAGTTATGGACAGTTGTTTGATGTCATGTGGTGCTGGGACTCAAACCTGGGTCCTCTGGAAGAATAGCCAGTGCTCTTAACCACTGAGCCATCTCTCCAGCCCCAAGGGTGTTTTCCATTTTTTTTTTTTTAAACAATATTACTACATAGCTCCAGTTGGATTTGAACATGGCATTCCTCCTGCCTCAATCTCTCAAGTGCTGGGATTATAAACCAGTGCCACCACATCTATCTCTACCCAACAATCTTATTTTCATGAATTACCCAATTCTTTCTATCCTTTTAGAAGTAGGAGGGGTAATTCCCACAATTTCTGAGGAGTGGCAATAAATGAGGGCAGCTTGGCTTTTATAATCTCTCTAGTTTGTAAGAATCTGGCTTTCCCCTATTCTGTGAATCATCAGAGTGGGAAGGGGGAGGTCAGATGTATCTCCTTTTCCCTCCCTTGCTGGTTAGACCTGTTCCACTCACCTACTGAAGGCCTGAGGCTGTAGGTAGACAGGGTTGAACAGATAGATGCCATTGGTGAGGTTGGTATAGTGTCGGCTGTCTGTATTAGCAATACAAATACCTAGAAAGGGGAGAGTAAGAGAAAAAGGACTTTATATGAGCAGCCAAGCTAATGAAGCACAGGATGACGGAGTGGGGGATTAGGATGTTGGGTCACTGTAGAGGTCTGGGACCTCTTAAGAGCATACATCTAGGACCTTTTTTTTTTTGTTTTCTAAGTTGCCCTTTCTCAAAACCTTATAAAAACTACAACTTCAGCCAGGAAGGTGGACTCTCCTGAAGGCATTGGTGAGCTATCCCCTGAATGGTCCAATGGTGACCAGGGAGGCCAAAGTGTTCATTCTATACCCTATGGTCAAGACAATTCTTGTTTGAGAAATCATTAATCTAGAGATCACTTCTTTATCACTTGGCCTTTATTCTGTATCATCCCATCAGAAATAATCAGCCTCCAAGGGCACTTCACCGAGAAGAAATGCCTTCTTTTAATGGAACAGAAGTTTGGCTCTTCTCATCCTCTGAGGGATGATTCCAGTCTAGAGGCAAATTTCAGGTTGGAAAGTCCCAGGAAACTCCTCCAGGTCTCCCACTTTCCCAAAGGCAGGCAGACAGGTCACCCTGCTAGGGCTGGAACTTGTCCTGGAGAGGCATGCTCTTCGGGAAAAGACATTCTCAGCATCTATTCAAGTATGGTGAGATGATTCAAGATGGTAACATTATTTTGTTCTATTTTCTTTCCTGGCTTCAATGGGGATCTAGGTGCTTCCCAATTCTGTGCTTTGTGGCTATCTTCCTGTTGATTCCCCCACTTCCATTGCAGCCTGACCTTAGTGATGGGATTATGGCCAGTGGCATGGAAGAAGATGGGAAGGGAGAGAGACTTTGAGATGGAGAGAGGAAGGTCTGGGACTGTGAGGTCCAGGATTCCTGAATGTTCAGAGAAAGCAATAATTAAACCTACATAGAGGGAACTGGTATTCTGAATCTACTCAGTCATCATTGTGTCAGAATCCCTTGGGGGTATTCTGTCAAAAAGATTCTAGGGTACCGTTCAGTCTGGCTAGCTGGAATTTATGAGTAGGCTCAGGTGTTCTACATTTTATGAAGTTTTCTCGGAGAACAGCTGTCATAGATTAATTTGGATGGGGGAAAATGCAGAGGGAGCTGCAAGGATTATACTGGGAGTTACAGGGTTAATGTGAATGTCATGGACTTCTTGGAAGCTTTTCTGGGTTGACATTCTGAGCCCTGCTGCTAAACTGTTATCCTAGGATGGTGGTGAGGTAACTCCTCCAGAGAGGTGGTTTCTCAGCTAATCTTCCTTAATGTCAGAAAAGCACAGACTGCTGCTGCCTAGGTTAAGCAAAGACCCAGGCTTGACGGACCTAATTTATTGTTTTTGTTCCTTTCCTGTTTGCTTTCTCACTTCCACCCCAAGGGGAAAATATAGTTCCAGGCCCATCAGGAACAGAAGCAGCCAGCTGTTTCCAGGATGAACAGCTGGGTTGGGGTAGGGAAGGGGGCATCAGATAGGAAACAGTTCCAGACCCCACCTCCCTCCAGCCACAGCTAATGAAGTCATTACCAGGAACAACAACAGTGACTTCTGGGAAGACGGAATGTATGGTCTGTTGGAGCAGCTGGTAGCCCAAGGCTTGGTCATCAGAGGGGCTGATGGGCAGGGGGTCAAAGGCTCGTAACACATGTAACTGGACTCGGTCATCAGCCACAATGTTCTTGACAAGTTCTAGGACCTCCATGGTAGAAACAAAGGGGGTTAGATTTCTCATTGATCTTCTATCTAAGCACCAAACAAACAGTTCAGATATTTTTGCAGGAAGGTAGAGCTCTGGGGTTTCTAGAAAAGACCTTTTTGTTGGGGGGCGACAAGGTTTCACTTTGTAGTTAAGGCTGGCCTTGAACCAGTCTCTTCCATGTCTATTTCTTTATTTATTTATCTATTTATTTTTGCACTGGGACCTCAGTTTTCAAGGTCTGGCTGAGGGTGATGTAAAACTGGGTCTTCCTGAAAGAAAGCATGGCAGAATTCAGGTGTTTGGGAGGATTGTCTTATAGCCATGAGACAGCTGGGGAATTGGATAATCAGGAAATTATGTTATTATGTCTTTTCCCTTGGGTTGTGAGCCAGGGCTTGTGAAGTGTAAAAGTGATAGTAGGATGGGGATTTCAGCCATCTCGAGGCAAGAACATGATCCTGCTCCAACCTGAGCATCTCAGACAGGTGACCAGAGGGCAATAAAGTATTCTTTTCCCTCTGAGCATTTCTGCTTCATGTTTGTAATCAAATGTACTGATCCAGGAAGATGAGCTTGACACACAAAATCAGAAGTGTGGTGGCTGGTGTTGAAATTTTCTCCTTTGTCTTTTTTCCTTAGGAAGGGCCCTAAGGAAACTCCTGGAAAACTCAATTTTGAAGTGACTAGGGGAATCAAGTTAAATCCCTGATCCCAGGAAGAATGCAGACCAGACCCTAAGGTTCAAACCCCATGAGGGAGGAAATAAACCAAGAGGCTTATTGTAATGGGCACCTTCTTTTTTTTTTTTTTTTTTTTTTTTTTTTTGGGACAGAGTTCTCTTTTTGCCCCACCCGTCCTGGAATCCACTTTGTCAATCAGGCTGGTCTCGAACTCACAAAGATCCGCCTGCCTCTGCCTCCCAAGTGCTGGGATTAAAGGTGTGTGCTACCATGCCTGGCTGAATAGGGCACCTTCTTGACCATAGCTACACCACGTTAAAGTTTAGGCTGACTCTAGTCTCTGAAATTATCAGGCAGTTGGCCCAGGGTATGGGAACACATGTCAGCTGAACCCTGGCTGTCTTGGCAACAGATCAGCCTGTCCCAGAGTACACCTGCTAACTGAAGATTTATGGCTTCTTTAGATTATGCTTGGCTTGCTTCTGCAAGATAGTAATTGTTACTTAAAAGAATAGAAAATGTTAAAATTGTTAAAGGGGCTCTCTACCTATAAACTTGGGAACTTAAACTTTCACCCTTGGTTATGGTTTCTCTGTATAAAAGCTTACCCTAGAGGTGGCTCAGTGCTACACACTTGGGTTCCTGACACCCTTGTGTAGTAGCCCTGGCCAGTAACCACTTTCATTTGGCAAAACTTTGTCTGAGTGGTCTTTTCTGGTGAAGCACTCCACAACATTATGATGGTCCCCTAATCCGGTCAGCTATCCAAAGAAGCCCAACATCAATCACAACCCATTTGATCAGTATTTACTTTGAAATTGCCTCTGCTACAGAAAGGGCAGTGTCTCACAGCCAGAGATCACCTGAATGGGTACATCATTCCCAGTAGTCCTTTTAGGCCAATGATCCCTAGAAGCTAGGAGCTGCACACATCAGGAGCAGAGGGCTCCTACTTCTGGCTCCACAACCTCCATCTGAATCAAAGCAAATTCCCTTCAGGTGGGTGAGGGTTATGAGAGCTCAGTTGTACCCTAGTACTAATATCCCAAATACTCTCATTTAACACTCAATTTATTGGCGATATGACTTAGTGGTAGAGTGCTTGCCTAGCATGCAGTAGGCCCCAGGTTCAACTCCCCAGAAATGCCTCCTCCCGCCCCCGGCAATATGTAATCTTGATACATTTTTGATCTACTGAAAGGCTCCTGGAAGTCATCCTCTATGAGGTGGAGGGGGGACACCTGTGCCTACTGTCTCTTGCTCCAGATCTCTTACAGGTTTCTGACTCTAGAAACTGAAGAAGGTACAGAGACTGGGCCTGATTCAAAGGCAGGGACTGTGTCAATTTCATTCCTGCATTTACAGTATTAAGCACATTAAAAAGTATGCAATAAGTGTTGGATACTTGAACTGTAAAAGATGAGATCCAGCAGGGCGTGGTGGTGCACGCCTTTAATCCCAGCACTCCGGAGGCAGAGGCAGGCGCCAGCCTGGTCTCCATGGTGAATCCAGGACAGCTGGGGCTACAGGGAGACCTTGTCTCAAAAAGAAAAAAAAAAAAAAAAAAAAAAAGATGAGATCCAATAAAAATAATAATAGGTATTGTCTCACTAGGTGACTTACCTAGGGTTACATAGTAGTGCTGGACTGAGTGTCTACCTGATTACCCCAAAACAATGCATTACTGTCTCTGAGGACAACTGGAAGAGGAGGTGAGGATCAGAAAAGTATTCATCTGAGATGGATGCCATGGGAATTAAAAAAATGATTATTTTTCTTTTATGAGCATGAGTGTTTTGCCTTCATGTCTGTAGGTACACCCATCCTGCAATATCTGTTGAGGACAGAATAGGGCATCAGATCCCCTAGAACTGGAGTTACAAAATGGTGGTTTAGCTGCCACGTGGGTGCTGGGAACCAAACCCAGGTGCTCTGCAAGAGCCAGTGCTTGGAACCACTGAGCCAGCTCTCCAGCCCCTAGGTGGTAGGAATTTTGAGCCTGAGTCTGAAGATAGGATGTAGAACTGATAAAGAAACAGAAGTTATTGCTAGCATGGAGAAGGACATGTATAAAAACCAAGGCATGACAAAAACATTGTGCCTTGGATGATCAATGCACAGTTGTGGGTGGGACTTTGGGCTAGCTCATTTATTCTAGGAAATTCCAGAATGAGATCTTTAATTACACCTGTAATCCCAGCACTTGGGAGGTGGATGGAGGAGGATCAGGAGTTCAAGACCAGCCTGAGTGACAAGAGAGTCTGTCTCAAAAACAAATCTTTAAACAAATGAGGCACGCTCAGTGAAATGAAGCTGAAAGCTCTCTATGATGGAAATGTGCTCTACAGTAACCTTAGAGGCCTCACTTACCATCACGAGTCCTTCCTCTTAGTTCTATTATTGTACTTCTTATTACTGTCCAGGGAAGGCGGTCCTTTTATTATTAACAGACAAATAATTCACTATAGCCCAGGGTGGCCTTCTTACTATCTTCTTGCATCAGCCTCGGGAGTAAAGGCACATCAGTATGCCCAGCTAACAGCCTCCATTTACTGCAGGCTTACTATATGCCATGCACAGGTCTCCTAACCACTTACATGTATCACCTCCAGTAACAGTCACAACTACCTGTGAGGTGGGTGCTGCTGTCATCCACATGCCAATCTTTTTCCCCTGGAACCCCCCCCCCCCCGCCTTTTTTTTTTGGCTGACCTTTCTTCTGGTCCCAATAGGAACTACTTCACTGTCCCGTGCATTTAACTCTGCCCATCTCCCCACTGCCTTTTCCAGAATCACTTTGTGACATTGCAACTGTTTTTCTTTATGTTACTTATTACTTAAGAGTTACCTTGTTCATTCATTTGGTTACTTCCTTACTGCTGTCCCTTCTCACTGGAACATAATTGTCACTAGAGAATCCTATGTCTCTTGTTCACCACTATCCCAAGTGCTTAGAAGAATGCCCAGCTGAGTCCAGCCATGTAGGCCTATAATTCTAGCTATTTAGAAGGCAGGAGTAGGAGGATTACAAGTTCAAGGCCAGGCTGGGCAACTTAGTAAGGTTTTGTATCAAAATAACAAAGTAGGAAAAAAGAAGGAGGGGCTTGGGATATAGTGGGAGAGCCCTTGCCTAGCACATGTATGGCTGTAGGCTCAACTACCAGTACTGTAAGAAAAAAAAAGATGTCTAATAAGTAGCCCCTCTACAGACACTTGGTAAAAACGAAGGAAGGCATTTTGTCTTCTCAGTTGAGTCTTTTTAGTGATGAGGACCTCATTACTCTCCAACATGGTGTATCACTATGCTGGAGGCTCCCTAAATTCTTTCCTTATGGCCTTATTTCTACTCCTTGAGGCTCATTCAGAACAAACCTTCCTTTACACAGACAAGTGCTGGAGCCTAGCCCATCACCTCTAGATTATCAGGGAGACCAGGTGCAGATGGAAAGAGGACTGTGGGCCTGCTTGTGTTTCCACTGTATCCAGCATGAGGCTCTGAGCATGTGGCCCTTGGGCAAGAGTGAGAGCCCCGGACAAATGGGCCCTGTGAGCTTCCTAAATGATGGAGACTTTCCATTCCTCACTGGGGCAGGTGGGCAGGATGAGCTCAGGGGATCCCAGAGGTGTCATCAGATAGACTGGGAGGGAAAACCTCTCTGGTGAGGAGGGGAAAGTGCCAGGACCAGGGAGATGAAAGCCCTAGCTGAGTGGAAAAAAGCCCTTGAAAAAGGATGGTGTTGGGATGGGCTGGGAAAAAAACTGGTGGAAAGAAGCTCCGCAGAGAGAATTTAGTGATTTCCTGGCCCAAGGAGAGGACAAAGGTTGGCACCTGATGAAAAACAGCAGGGCCCAGGGCTCACACTTCCCCAATGTTGGGCAGGCTGTTAACCCACTCCCTAGTCTATGATGAGTGCTCCTCCCTCTTTGCAGAGGGATAGATGAATGCTCCATGGGAACTTTAGGAAAAAAACCCATGGAAATCTAAGTGTGCCTGACCCTTGAGGATCTGGGCTAGAGACCCTACTGTGTCCTAGAATGTATTATCTATCAGTTATTGGGTTGCCCTTTGGTGGTTCTCTTTCTCCTTTCTCCTTCCTCTTCCTCCTCCTCTTCTTCCTTCATCTTCTTCATCCTCCTCCTCTTCTTCTTCTTGCCCTGTTTTTTCTTCTTTTTTATTTTATTTACTATTTTTTATTTTATGTGTATGAGTAGATTGTTTGTATGTATGTAAGTGCAACGAGTCATGCAATGCCCATGGAGGACACAAGAAACTTCTGATCCCCTGGAACTGGAGTTAAGGACAGTTGCTAGCTACCATTTGAACCCGGATCTTCTGCAAGAACAGTCTAATGGCTGAGTCATCTCTCCAGTCTTCTTCTTTTTTTGTTGGTGTGTGTGTGTGTTCCCATGTGAGTGTAGTATGTGCATGTGTAGATCAGAGGTTGATGTTGGGTGTCTTCCTCTCTCATTCCCCACTTTAGTTTTTGAAACAAAGTCTCTCATTGAATTTGGAGCTCACGATTTGGCTGGTTTGGGTAGCCAGCAAGCCGTCTCTGCTCCCCAAGTGCTGGGTTATGGTGTTGCTGTGCCATACTTTTGTTTCTTTTTGTTTTTTGAGACAGGGTCTCTCTACATATCCTTGGTTGGCCTGGAACTCACTATGTAGACCAGGCTTGAACTTAGAGATCTGCCTGCATCGGCTTTCCGAGTGCTGGGATAAAGTATACACCACCATGCACAGCTGTGTCCTGCTTTTATGTGGGTACTGTGGATCCAAACTGAGGTGCTCATGCTCACATGGAAAGTACTTGCCCATTGAGCCATTTCTTCAGTTCCTGGTTTTTTTTTTTTTTTTTAAAGCAGGGTCTCTAGTCTAGGCTGGTCTCAAATTCCCTATGTAGTTGATCTTGATACTCTACCTCCTGAGCGCTGAGATTATAGGCATGCACTACCCAGTTCATGTGTTACTGGGTTTGAACTCTGGGCTTTGTGCAATGCTAGGCAAGTATTCTACCAACTCTGTTACATCCACAGCCTTTGATTAAATTTTGAAGGATCAGACTCTCCCATTGTTTTTTGTGGTGAAGGGCATTGTGAAATCCAGGGTCTCCTGTATGCTAGGTGAGTATTCTACCACTGAGTCACATCCCCAGTCCCAGGTTTATCTTTCAAATTCTTTTTAGCTTAATCTGATATCTAAATATTGCTGGTCTTTTCTTCAGATGGCAAACATTCTGTGCAACTTCTGCTACCCCTTTAGCTTTTAGATCAAAGTTACTACCTCAGAGAAGTCTTGCCCAACCCCTCAAGTTCTGGTTCCTTGCTGTATTCTTTAGTAGCACCAGATTCCTTTTCCTCAGAGGACCTACTGTGAATACTGAAGGTTGTATCAAAAGCACTCCACCTTACACTTCTAGTTCATGTCTTTCCAGACCTGAGATACTTAGAATTATCTATTAATATAGCAGTTTTTGAGGTGCTGGGGATCAAATATAGGTCCTTCCTTACACATACCAGGCAAGCACTCTATGACTGATTTACATCTGCAGTCCAAGAGATGTCATTTTATTTTTACATGTTTTGAATTAATGTCTCCCTATGTTGTACAGGCTGATTTTAAACTCATGGGCTCAAGTGATCCTTCTGGTTCATGCTCCCAAGTAGCAGGGACTACAGGTGCACACCACTATGTTGCCTTTAATTTATAAACCATTATATTTCTCTTTGAACTTGTACTTCTTTCCAAATGCCCAATCTTATTCAAAGGTATTAGCACTTGACCAATTATCTGGGATACAAGCCTTGGAACCATATTGCCTTCCTGTCAGTGCTCATCCATATCCATACCCCATCCCACTGAACCTCTCTCTCTCTCGTAGGTTAGTGATCCTTCTTTATCCTATGACCCTGGCCTCAGCTCAGACTTCCTTCCATATGTGCTATGTGTGATGTTGAGCTGAGACTGTCTCTTTTCATTCTAGCACTTCCTTGGCATTGCCATCAACATTCTCTCCCCAATGGCAAATCTGAGTCTATCATGGTATTTTAAAAAATATTTTATTAGCTGGGCATGGTGATGCACACCTTTAATCCCAGTACTTAGGAGGCAGAGGCAGGTGGATCTCTGTGAGTTCAAGGCCAGTCTGGTTTACATAGCAAGTTCCAGGCCAGCTGGGGCTACAGGGAGACCCTGTATGCTGCTTAACTGTTGCTTTGCACCTCAGTTTTCCCCACCTGAATGAAGATGGTACAGTTTCTGCCTTATCAGGTGGTGTGAGGGCTAAATGAGCAAGTGAATTTTACGTTAGAAGCACACAGTACACTGTATCTATTTGTTACTATCATTATCATTTATTTGTATTTGTCTCCCAGCGTTAGACTCCCAAGTTTCCCTAAACCAGGTATCTCCTATCCTATTATGTAGCTGGTACACAGGAGCCTTGTAAACTGGAAGTTAAACACAGGCAAGACTAGCCCAGTGCTAGGAATGTAGCTAAACCCAAGAGTATCCCACCTTTTGATGCTGACCTGTTGTCTAGAACACGTGTACATACCTCATGCACTGTCTGTGTAGGGTGAATTCGGAAGTTGATTGTAGCCTGAGCCAGTGGGGGGATGACATTCACCTACAGAGAGAATCACAAACCTGGTCTGAGTCTACTTTAAGTCTTCCAGAGCTGGCCTCCTACCTAGGAGGATCTACCACCAGTAGGAACAGAGGCAATTGCCCTGATTTAAGGAATCAAGGCTTAATTTTGAGTCTGCCCTTGTCTTCTCTGGGCCTTTAACATGCTGTTATACTCAATTAGAGGGATCTCTGTTTCTGGCGGATCTTTTGTGTTTTAGTCCTGGAGGGGTTATAGAGCAGTACTGTGTTCTCTGTGTCTTCCCAGATAACTAACTCTGTGCCAGGCCACTGGGAGCTTTTAGGGTGTGCTTTCCCAGGGAACCTGAATATTTCTCTTAAGATTAGTGCTCACTCATGGTAGAGCACCCAGAGCCTCAAGAGGCCCCTCCATAGTTTGTCTAGTACTTGAGAGGATGAAGGTAGTTGTGGATGTTTTGCATATTTAGTTGCAAAATCTGCCTCTATTCTTTGCCAAAGTCTATGACTAATTGGAGAAGATAGGCAAATGAGGGATTTTTCCCCTGATGATGTTTTAGAGCTATTTCCCAACTATATCTTTCTTTGAACTGGTGAGGTGCCAAAAAGCACTAGATACAGGGTCACGACTGGGCTGTAACAAATTGGAAGTGTGATTTTTGAGTAACTGCTACTTTTTTGCACCTCTGCTTTTCCAGCCAGCAGCTGGGACAATGCTACTCCCGTCGTTTTTTGAAGGATCAAATTGCATAAAAACACAACATCATCTCTGGAAAACAAAACAAAACAAAACAGCTCAAATGCAAGGACATAGCACTACTATACTGGTGATTAAGCACCACAGCAGCTGGTGAAGATGGTTAGGGTCAGGTACACTGAGCACACCAGTTAGTTACATCAGAAGTGAATTTTTTTTTTTTTTTTTTTTTTTTTTTGAGACAGGGTCTCCCTGTAGCCACAGCTGTCCTGGAACTTGCTATGTAGATCAGGCTGGCCTTGAACTCACAGAAATCCACCTGCCTCTGCCTCCTGAGTGCTGGGATTAAAGGCATGCGCCACCACGCCCAGCTCAGAAGTGAATTTTAAGGTACCTTTCACTTATATCAAATTTAGCAGAGTCCCTCAAGGCTACATTGTGCTTTAGGCAAATGGTGTCTCCTGAAGTGGTGGTGGCGATGGTGGTTATAGGTATGATCGAATTTTCTTCAAAGCCCTAATTCTTCATGTGGCCAGGCTTGATCCTTTAATAAAAGAGACCTCCCCCCTTAGCACCTAATTTAGCTGCAGGCATTGAAAAGTAATGCTTAGAATAGAAGCTTACCAAATAATTGATTCTTATTTCTAGAAAAGTAAACCTCATATAGAAATTATATTTACTAAGGTACATTTTGGGAAAGGATAGATTTTATAAATAGCAAGTGAGTTTCCTTCTCAATTTATACCAGGGGAACAGAACAGATATTAATTACTCAATAAATGAGTTAGGTAGATAAATCTTGAAAACCACAAGAAAGTTTTAACAAAAAAGATTATACATGGCTGGGGATGTGGCTTAACGACAGAGCACTTACATAGCATGTACAAGGCCCTGGGTTTGATCCTCAGCACCAAAAAAAAAAAAAAAAAAGAATAAACAAAAATGAAATAAAGACCTTTGATGGTAGAAGGGTTTGAAAGCTTTAGTCAAATGACCAAAAGTGCCAGGAAAATATAAAACAAGTTGGATCATATTTAGGGCAAGGGCCACAAAACCTAACTCCCCATATCTCCCTCTGCATAGCGTTTGGGGGACTATAGAATAAAGCAACTTGAGAGGGCCATAGACATCTACCACTGATACACATATAAACATGACTAACAGTCTCTGGGCTATAGACCCTCACTGTAGCCCTTGCTCTTGAGGCTTACCTCATGACAGCATTTTTCCTTCCTATTTTTCTTTTTCTTTTATTTTTCAGTTTTGAGACAAGGTCTCACTCTAGCCCCAGCTGGCCTGGAACTCATTATGTAGATCAGGCTGGCCTTGAACTCACAGAGATCTGCCTTCTGCCTCCGGAGTGCTGGGATTAAAGGCATGTGCCACCATACCCAGGTGTTCCTTCCTATTTTTCAAACTGTAGCCAGAGCAGGAAGAAAAAGCCCATAGATAAATTCAAAGGACAGAGGTACAAGTGGGCACTGGGTGAACCAAATGTTACCTTGATCCCTGCATTGAACATGGTGAGGGCTGTGGTGGTCCTGACCAGTGCATTGGTTATGTGGTTCCTCTCCATTAGCCTAAAGTAAAAAGACCATGGTTAGACATCAGGAAGAACTATCTGATGGATGGAAAGAATAATATGAAGTGTCTATGGCTGAGGGATGATCAGTCAGGCCCAGGTAAGCCAAGGACAGTGGGCTGGGAATTAGGTAACTTTGAGGTGGGGAATATTGAGGAGGAAAGGCAATACATTACCTGCTTACAAGGGGACGAAATAGCCACAGGTTGTTCAAGATTATATTGGTAGGGAAAGGAAACTGAAAGGGAAGGAACAGGATTAGCAGGATGAGCCAGGTTTAGCACAACAGGCCTGCTGTTCTGAGTCTGTTTCAAGCCTATCTCAGGGCTCTCAGTGCTCAAGCCTCCAGCTGAGGTCAGCTGGTTCAACTGCTGGGTGAGGCAGTTTGCACTTGGATGGGCAGATCTGATTTGTTTGAACAATTGTTTAGCAGTCTCAAGGATAAGTGGGAACTAGTTTCCACAGGAACCTGGGTGTGTTAGGCTGTTGGGTCTCATATAAGTCCCATCAGCCTCAGTCAGTAAGCCTCTTGGCTCAGGGGCTGGCAGGGAATAGGTGAGAATGGGCAGAGCCCTGGTAAGCATAGTGGCTCTTTCATTACAGGTCTTTCTCTGCCCATTTTCTGCTTCTTTTCCACAGTTGGCCAGAAGTATGGGGTCCTTCCGTACCTCATTTGCCAGTTGCTCCACCGTCATCTTCAATGGCCCACTTCCGAACATGTTTGGCATTGGTGTCTGCTCCAGTCTGGAAGAGAAATGGAATTCTCAAGCCCTGGCTAACCCCAGGCCAAGATTAACTCCTGAAGAGAAGAAAGGAGAGAGATGCAAGTTTTAATAAGCCTGCTCGGTGGGTTTGCCACCCACTGGCCCACCACCAAGTCAACTGAGTTGAAGATTCAAAGCACTGGCAAGAGTACCTCTACCCAGCCAGTGAAAGCATTCCCTAGTCACAAGTGCCAGTCAGGGCCCTGTCCTGTTCCTGCCCTGCTCCTCTGCCACAGTGTATTCACTCTCACAGTACCTACTAAACTGTGGTAGGACTGCCAATCTACTATATCAACTAGGGCTTCCTCAGGGCAGAGCCCATTTCATATTTTATACATATTCCCTGGCACAAAGCCTTGACAATATGGTGGCTATTCATTCAACATCTGATGAATACTGCTCTGTTCCCACTTTACTGAGAGAACCTAGACCCAGGTGAGTGTTGCTCTTGCAGACTTTGGTCTTCATTCACAGCCAGATGCTCTTATTTACCTTTATCCTTCTGCCAGGGCCACTCTATTAGCCACTGTCAATCTGTAACTTCTAACTTAGATGGACTCTGGACTACCTAGCATCCTGACCTGATGTTTATCTACTGGCCTCTGCATGCCCTCAGGATGACACCAGACTTAGTCTGGGTACTGAAGGCTTTGCCCCTTCTGTGACCTGCATCTCTGCATCCCAGACTAGCTTCAGGGCAGGAAGCTCAGGCTCTTCAGCCTCACAGTGGGAAAGTGCCAGGTCTTCATCCAAAGCAGTCCTGGGAGTAGGGCCAGGAGCTGCTTACCGGTTGATGGCAGCTGAGAGGATGCCAATGCTTGTCTCCTTTGGGGGAGCTGAAGAGTGGCCTGGAGTCATGTTTACTTGCAGCATGAGGTCAAGTGCACCCTTCTCTGAGACTGAAATCCTGTGAAAGAGGATCAGAGAAATTCACTTCTGACTTCTTCCCCACTAAATCATGCTCCAGGTACACAGGCTCATCTGCATGGTGGGCTGATGGGCTGGTTTAAAAAATCTACATGCTGGTTTCATGCTGGTTTGAAAAATCTACATTAGAGGAGGGAGGGAGGGGGAAGCCCAGGACATGTTGAAGAAGAGGATGAGTAAGACAATAGAGTAAAGCAGTTATCTCAGCATAACAGGGACCAGGCTGCAGTCATCTCAAATGGGGCAAGAACCTTTCCAAGGTGGAGGGAGGGGTGCTTTACATACATGGCAATGGGCTTCTTGAGGCTTGGAATGAAATGTTCAAAAATAAAGCTTCCTTCATCCACAAGGAAAGCCAGCTGGATGCCCCTTGCCTGTAGGAGAGCTGAAATTTTCTGAGCCCCTTTTGTCCCAGACACCTGCAGATAGAGAACCCAGAGCCACAGTCCTTCTCAGTTAGAAACAGATACTAAAGACAGTGAACAGAGGCTCACTCAGCTGTCTAAGGACTCCAGGACCTTCCTTTCCACTCTTCTTTCTGTGGGACGGGCTGAGATAATTCTGTCACACAGAATCTTCCAGTGTCAGAGGCCCCCAGAACCTCACTAATTTCACAAATGAAGAAATTGGGACCTAGATAAAGAAGTAATTTGCCCAGGTTTAAAGTAAGTGGCATTATGGAAATAAAACACATGGAAACACTATGGAAATAAAAACTGTTTATATTACACTAAAGTTTCTTGGAGTGGAGTTGACAGACTGCCTGTCTTAGATATTACCAGAGAGTTTATGAAATACTTAGGGCCCAGGAATTTGAATTTAGGTTACAGACCTTAGATAATTTTGACACAGAGACACACAGGGCAACTGGCGAACAACTACACAGTATCATGGAGACCTTGCAGGTGGTGAGCATACTGGTTTAGGGTAAAGCTCCCCATCTCCAGAAGGGGTTCTGGAGACAGGCACTAGGTAAGGTAGCTTACTTCCTCATCATGTCCCAAAGCAATGAAGAAAGTTCTTCTGGGGCTGTAGTTCCTGATCAGTAGGAGCTCCACGGCCTGCAGGATTGCCTAGGATTCAGAAGAGGAGAAAGGCTCATTGTCTAAGTAGGCAATCACACAGACTTTCATCAGGTTGGTGGAACTAGAAGCTAATAGACTGGCTTTAAAAAGAACAAATTCAAGTGATCCAGGGATAAGAGCTCTTACTATCTGGAGAAAACTATATATTTGGGGGTGGAGAGATGGCTCAGAGGTTAAGAGCACTGGCTGCTTTTGCAGAGGACCCAGGTTCAATTTCTAGCACCCACATGGTGGCTAATGACTTTATCTGTAAATCCAGTTCCAGGGGATCTGATGCCCCCTTTTGACCTCCGTGGGCCTTGCACAACACAGGTGCACCTACCTACATGCAAACAATACACTCATACACATAAAATAAAAAATAATAAATAAAATATTATAAAAAGAAAATCATACATTTATCAATGCCAGCTGAAAGGGTCCCTACTGGGGATTATCTAACCCAAGTCCTACACAGTTGAGAAATCAAGGTCCAGAAAAAGGAAGTGACAAACTAATGGTTACAGCACAGGTCTCTTAGAACCAATTCTTTCAATCATAACCTTCTTCCTCCCTGAGGTCAGCCAAATTCTCCCATCCTGGACAAATCTTTGGGCCCTGGTCAAATATTAAGCATAGTATTTCATACCATCACAGAGTTTTTGTTGTCCAGAGTGCCCCGGCCATGGATGAAGCCATCATGCTCCAGGCCTGAGAATGGGGGCATGTCCCAGCCTTCTTCAGGGGCAGGGACCACGTCAAAGTGAGCCATCAGCATGTAGGGCTGCAAACTGGGATCTGAGCCTTGTACAGTGAACAGGTGGCTGTACTTCCCCACGACTTCATGACGGATAAAACTGGTGCTGAACACTGTAGGAAAGACTAGAGGCAAAGAGATAAGAAGCAGGGGAGAAAGCAAGGCTTAGCAGTTTCCTTCTATCTTCCTACCGTTTCCTGCTCCCTAATCTTTTTCTTTTAACATGCATGTTCCTTGAATATGTCTTAGACAAAGTCTAAATTCTGATCTATGTTTTCAATCTTTGAAATTCTTCTTCCATACATACACCCATGCCCCTAGGATCAAGCCCCTCCTACTTTAGTCTGCTATTAAAAACTACTAAGATGGGTAATATCTCAAGATCTGGCTCATTCTAGCCTAACATGCTATCACATATAGACACCTGTGATAAGGGATTTGTTACATTTTGAATAGCTCCCCAAAATCCAGATTACTCAGAGTCAAACATGATCACTATGTAAAAAATTCAGCAATACTTTTAAGAAAACAGCCTAGGCATGGGGGCACATGCCTGTAATCCCAGCACTTAGGAGGATCAGAGTTGAAGGCTAGCTTGGGCCACATAGCAAGACCTTGTTAAAAAAAAAACAAAAACAGACTTGGGGGGGGTGGCTTTTCTTCTTATTTGTTTTAATTTCTAAAAAAGTATTTTTATTATATATATATATATATATATGAGTGTTTGCCTACATGTATGTAGGTGCACCCATGCACTCAATGCCCATGGAGAGTCAGAAGAGGGAGCCGGATCCTCTGGAACTGGAGTTACAGACGACTGTTAGTTGCCATATGGGTGCTGGGAACCAAACCTAGGCCCTTTGCAAGAGCAGCCAGTGCTCTTAACCTCTGAGCCATCTCTCCAGTCCCTCAAATAATTTTTGAGACAGGGTCTCACTATGCAGTCTAAAAATCTATGATACTCCTGCCTCAGCCTCCCCAGTGCTGGGATTACGGGTGTTAGCTACATGTCTAGCTTGTTTTTAATATTTTAAATTCAAGATTGACTCCACACATATGGAATCCATGGATGTGAAGAGCCAACTGTACTGTTTTAATTGACTAATTGTGAATTGAATTTGGGTTGTTTCCATTTGAGGCCATTGTAAACAATGCTGCCCTGGAGAATGCTGCCCTCTTACTGTTGGTGTTTTGTGGAGATAAGCATTGTTCTATCTAGTCACACTTGTGTGTGTGCAGGTATGAATGTTCCCAGGATTGGTTATCCAGATTACTGGCGGGACTTAATACAGGTGGCCTAGATAGTCTCCTCTGGACTTTCTGGGAAGAATCCACTTATACCTCAGTGGATATCTAAAAACAAAAACCTGAAGAATGTGGTTGAGCTTGTCACCAGTTCACCTAGTTTACTGTCACTGTATATACTTAGTTCATCAAAAAATTTTTTTTTCGGTGTGTGTGTATGTTACTGGGGATTGAATCCAGAGCCTCTGGCATGTCAGGCAAACACTTTACCACTGAGCTATATCTCCAGCCCCCTCATTTTCTATTGTTTTCTTTGTAAATCAATTGTTTTGGTAAGGACTTCCAACTTGGCCTTCTATTTTGATGACAAGGCACTAGTCCCAGATCCATTTGTCCCAGAGTGTTAGAGAGGGGGTTACTTGCTGATCCTAGATTAGCTTCTCCTTCCTCTAACATCTTGAAGGCACTGTTTCTTTATGTAATTTAATAGAGGGGGCCCCCCTACTCTCCATGAGATTTTTCATCAGGGGACAGGAGGATTCTAAGACTCATTTTCTGCTTTGACCCATCCTTCCTAGCTCTAGGCTCCATGGGTTTAGGGATGAAGGGAGAGGACTGATAGGCTAGTACAAGGTTGTTGACTGCCTAGAGGCTTAGGAATGGGTCAGTGATTATTTTGAGTGGAGTCCAGTCAGTGGGGCACTTGTATGCTGTATGGGCACAGAGACAGCAGCAGGGGTGGAGGTACAGAAGCATAGTTCTGTCTTGACATTTGCACAGGAAAAGGAATCTCTACTTCTATCTTTTAATGATCTAATCTATTGACTGATACATATTTAGAGCAAAGACTGGGAGAGTCAACACCCAAACCTACAGCCAGTTTTTCAAAGGTTATACTCCTTACTGTCTTCTCTGTGTAACTTTTGGAGTCACTCTTTTATACTTCTCACTTCATACAAAGTAGAAATAAACCCTTGAGAATTAGACTGTCCTCTGATCACTGGCAAACTCTACTTCCTTATTCCCTTGTCAAGGACCCATATGTTCAATCTATCTTTGCCCTCAGTTTGCAGCTGACCTTTCCGTATGTATTCTCCAAATTCAGCCAGGGCTGTGGTGTTGGATTCCACATGGCTAAAAGACACTGTTGGAATCTGGATGGCACCTGTCAGAATTCAACAGACAGAGATGGAAGATTAAAGATGATACATGTTGGACATTTCTTATAACCAGAGCTGAACCTGGTGCTATACATCTGTAATCCAAGCACTTGGGACCACTGAAGCAGGAAGATTATGAGTTTGAGTCTAGCCTGGGCTATACAGTGGGAAACTGTCTCAAACAAACAGAAAACAAAACATTTGAAATTTGAAGTGCACTGAAATCTGAAACTTTTTGAAGGTCAACCTGACACTCAAAGGATTTTGGATTTTAGAGCACTTTAGATTTTTGTCTGAAAGACACAATGACCTCTGTGTTCCGTTTTGCTAAGGATCAGCCTTATACTATCACAGCCTACCCCCTGGATGGGGAATCTGAAGTTCGAAAAGATTAAAGTGTCCACCTGAGAGCAGATCCAAGGTCTGAACTTTGATTCTTTGCATCTTGCTAAGAGGTCTAAGCCATGTACTATGAGGTCTTAAGCTTCTGTTTTCTTCTGTACAAAGGGACTGCTGCCATCGACTTGCAGAGGCCTATTTACACTATGTTGTGGGAAAAGCTCTTCCCAGGCCAATCACTACAGGATATTTACAATTCATCTCCCACACAGGGGTTAGCATTTGATCCCTCTGCCTGCACATGTTCACCATAGGCTGTGTCTCTTTAATCTACTAGTTAATGAAATGAAAAGAGCTGAGCCCAGTGGTCAGGATGCATCTCATGGCTCACAGGCTCTAGCACTTAACACAAAGGCTCCTCTTGTCCTGGAGGACTCAGACCAATGAGCTGGTAGCCTTGTTAGGTCCTTGCATTAGGAGAGAACTAGTTCCATCTTAAATTACACCCCTCAGAACCATCGAGAGCCCAGAGAGCTCTACCGACTGTAAAATGTTACCCAGTGCCCAGTCCTTGCAGCGTTCTGGGAACGATCATTTTACGAAGCTAAATCAGTTTTAAGATACTGTAGTGATTTATCAGACGTGACATCTTTCAGAGGTTGAAAGTGCTGTACAAACAAAAGCTGTAATAACGTTGGAGGCTAGCAGGGGGCAGGGTGGGTACCAGTCACCCCCGGAGGGCGGCAGCCGGAGCTTCCAGGCTAGGCAGGGTACACCAGTGGGGTCCCAGGTCCGTGCATGCTGTGCCACGACGGGTACTCGAACACTAGCTGGGGTCTGCCGGGTGTGTGGCGGAGCTCCAGCAGGAACGGCTGTCCCTTATGAACCGGGGAGGGGAGGCTGGCGGGGGGGGCACATCTGAGCACGGGGATGGGGGAGGGGAGGAGGGAGCCAAGTTCACCTTTCAGCGCCTCTTTAATAGCCACTTGCTCCTCTTCGTTGAACTGGGGAGGGATCCGCGACGCCCCCTGACTCTCCCTGCTCCTCGGGCGGGTGGAGCTGGAGGCGGTGGCGAAAGTGAACAGGAGCGCAGCCACCAGGGCCGCCGTGGGAACCCGCAGCCGAGCCATGGTCCCCGGAGTCCCTACCAGAGCCGCTGGAATTCGGACCTAAACGCCCACTACCTAACTCGCTGCTGGCCAATCATCGCTTATCTTGGCCCTCAGACAACCAATCCACAGGACGACCCCGCCCCTGCCCACAAGGCCTATAGGGTGTTGTGGTTTTACTTATAAGGCAGCTGCCAGGTGTGGAGGTAGTCAGCCAGGCGGTGCAGAGCCCAGGTGAAGTGGCACCCCAGGCAAGGGTTAGGACGTATTTGTTCTTAATCTTCTTTGAAATACTGTAAATCCTTTGCTTTGTGAGAAAAAAACCCAATAAAGCGTGCGTGTGTGTGTGTGTAAAGGGAATTAGTAAAGTTGATCAGACCTAATCTGTTTCTGACTTCTCAAATTAAGATTTTGACTCTCATAGTTCCTAGGTTGTGTGGAGGAGCTCAGTTTTGATATACTCTAAAACTGGAAAAGAGATGTTGTTTATACATAGTTGTTTGAAATACAAGCTCAGAAGGGCTTGTTCCTTTTTAGGAATTTCGTTGGAACTTCTTTTGAGCTTTTTATTGGCATATATTAACTGTACACAATGTGTGCCCCTTGTGTCTCTTGTGTGTGTGTGTGTGTGTGTGTGTGTGTGTGTGTTTCACATACATAATAAAGAATGCAATCTACCTCTAGGTGGAGACGAGCCCTTGTCTTCTCTCTTAAGGGTCAGCCCAGTGGGACAGGTCAGGGACCTGAGTGTGAGAGGACCACCCCCAGAAAGGTGGGTTCACCTTAAAATAACCTGCTTTTTCTTTCTAAGATTCCCATTCCCTAGTGCAGTCCCTGGGAGGAGCCTTGGAGTTCGCCTGGGTCTGAGGCTTGTCTGAGCTCTGACTCCATTCTGACTCAGGAAGGCATAACTGTTCTCTTCTTTTTCTTTCAGATGCTGGCTGGACACTAAGTATGCTTATAAACTCCCTAACTGACACTTTGGGCTTCCTTGCTTTTTTTCTAAAGCTCCCCTCTCCACCTCCAGGGGACTGATCTTCACATCAACTTATTTTCTTCATTCTCCTCCTCCAGGCACCTTTAAGATTTACAGCTTGCCTGCTCTAGGACTTTTTTTTTTTTTTTTTTTTTTTTTTTTTTTTGTCTTTTTGAGACAGGGTCTCCTTTCCTTTTAAACTCTAATTGTTCTCAAGCTTCTATTTGAGTCCATTCTTTGTCCTCAAGCTTCCATTTGTGTCCACTCCTGAATTCTTACATTAATGAGATTAAGAACCCCAAGAGGGACCCGGGTTTCCCAAGATTTCTGGTTACTAATATTTCTTTTCTGCCTTTTAATTCTTTAGTTGGTAGAGAAAATGAACTTGTTCTTGCGTCCCTAGATGGCAACAAATGGGTTTTATTACAGCACTTTCATACATGTATATAATGTATCATGCCCATATTTACCCTTCCATTACCCTGTCTTGTCTCCCTCCCACACTCACGGATCATCTTGTTGTCCCAACTAGTGCCCTTTGTGTCAGGTGTGTGTGTGTGTGTGTGTGTGTGTTTGTGTGACAAGACAGGGTAATGGAAGGGTAAATATGGTCATGATACATTATATACATGTATGAAAGTGCTGTAATAAAAGAAAGTTTCTTTTCCTCTCTCAGCAACCATTAAAGAAAATTTCTTTTCCTCTCTCAGCAACCATTACCTGCACATAAGTCCTCAAGAAGTGGGGAAACTGAATGAGCCCCTTCCCCCTCCACGACTGAATGTCGAGTGGTCCAGTTTTGTGCAGGTCTTGTGCAGATAATTATAGCTGCTGACAGTTCAGGAATGCAAAGGTCATATCACACCCGGAACACAGCATTCTACAACATACCATCCCTTCCTCCAGCTTTTTCATTAATTTTTATAAACAATATTCTTACGGGTATATGTACTTTTTAAATATTTTTTTTGATTTAGTTATTTTTATTTTATGTGTATGAGTGTTATTCCTGCATGTATGTAAGTACACCCGTGTCATGCAATGCCTGAGGAGGACAGAAAAGGGTGTCAGATTCCCTAGAACAGGAATTATGGACAGTTGTTAGCCACCATGTGGGTGCTGGGAATCTAACCTGGGTCCTCCGCAAGAGCAGTTAGTGCTCTTAATCACAGAACCATCTCTCCAGTCCCTACAGGTATATATTGTATGTTAAACATAACTTGCTCTCCATTATTCTTTACACCCCCTCCTTCTTGCCCTTCCTCTCTGACTACAAGAATGAGACAATCTCATTTCTTTTATTTAATTTATATATACATGATTTTATGTGACTATATACAATCCAGGAACCACAAATGAAAGGAGGTGTGATATTTGCCTTTCTGCAACTGGCTTAATTTGCTTAATATGATTGTCTCCAGTTGCATCCATTTTCCCACAAATGACATAACTTCTTTATGGTTGAAAAAATTCCATTGTGTGTATGTACCACATTTTCCTTACCCATTTCTCTGTTTTTGGACGTCTGGGTTGGTCCTTCACTCAGCTATTGTGAATAGTGTGCAATAAACAATAGTGTGCACATATTTCTGTGATATATTGACTTGGTGTCCTTTGGTAAATACCTGAGTGGAGTAGCTGGGTTATGTACTAGATCTATTTCTAGTTTGTGAGAAAACTCCTTACTAATTTCCATAGAGGTTGGACTACTTTACATTCACGCTAGCAATATATAAGGGTTCCCTTTTGTTCACACTGAGCCAACGTTTGTTGTTTTCTTTCTTTCCTTTTTTTTTTTTTTTTTTTTTTTTGTCTTTTTTGAGACAGGGTCTGCCTGTAACCCCAGCTGGCCCGGAACTCACTATGTAGACCAGGTTGGCCTTGAACTCATCAAGATCTGCCTGCCTCTGCCTCCCAAGTGCTGGGATTAAAGGTGGGCACCACCAATGCCTGGCTATTTGAATGGCTATTACTGCCGTTCTTACTATGTTTCTTTGATGGCTAGAGAACCAGGACATTTTTTTTACAAGCTAAGTAGTCATTTTTATTTCTTTTGTGAGCTGCCTATTTATTTAATTAATGCATTTATTGATTGGGTGGTTTATTTTATTTTCATGTGGTTCAGTTAAACATTTTTTTTTTTGCTTGTATGTATATGTGGTGTGTGTGCATGTATTGTGGAGGCCAGAGGTTGATGTTTCCTGTTTTCCTTGATCACTCTCCACTTTATATATTGAGGCAGGGTCTTTAATTTGAACCAAAAAGTCACTGATTTGGTAGTATAGCTAGCCAGCTTACTTCAGGGAATCCCATCTCTGCATTCCAAGAACCAGGATTACATAAAGGGGGGCCACAGTGTCCTACCCTTGCCATTTATGGGGATGCTGGGGATCCAAGCCCCTGTCTTCATGCTTGTGTTGTGCTGGTTAGTTTCTGTCAACTTGATTACAAGCCTAGACATGCCTGGGAAGAGGGAATCTCAATTGAAGCATTGCCTCCATCGTATTTGCCTGTGACTATGTCTGTGATGGCATTTTCTTGATTGCTAAGTGATGTAAGAGGGCTTGGCCCACTGTGGGAAGAGCCATCCCTGAGCAGGTAGGCCTGGGCTATAAAGAGAAGTAGCTGAGCAAGCCAGAGCTAACAAGCCGGCAAGCAGTATTCCTCCCTTGTGACTATCTCTGCTTCTCCTTGTGTTTTTGCCCTGACTTCCCTCAATGATGGACTGTGATTGGGATGTAAAAGCCAAAGAAACTCTTTCCTCCCTTAGTTGCTTTTGGTCATGGTGTTTCTCACAGCAACAGAAAGCAAACTAGAATCGAAATAGATACTTCTTTTTTTAAATTTATTTTTATTTTATGTGTATGAGTGCTATGCCTGCATGTGTGTAAGTGCACGCATACCTGAGGAGGACAGAAGAAGGTGTCAGATCCCCTGGAACTGGAGTTATGACAGCTTTTAGCCACCATGTGGGTGCTGGGATTCAAACTTGGGTCTTCTGCAAGAGCAGCCAGTGTTCTTAACCACCGAGCCGTATCTCCAGCCCAAAATTGGTACCTTTAACTGAGGTGTTGCTGTGATAGACCTGATCATGTTGGGTTTTTGGGGAAGGATTGTAGAAGCATTTGAACTGGAAAGCATTTGGGCTGCAAGTGCTCAGAGCTTAATGAACTGCTGTTGTGGGAGCTTGAAAGATAAGAATGTTGATATAAATGCAGAAGTTTCAGAGGGATATCTAGCAGTCCTTCAAAGACTCTATCAGGGCTCTTTGTGTGATACATTTGCATTTAAAATCTGTAGAAGTGAAAACTTTGCCTTACTGGGATAATAGATACTGATTATCAGGGACTGAAAAACCAGTCGTGATTAACATGAGACCAGTTACAGGAGACCAGCATCACTGAAGTGAAATCTTTTAGGAAGTATTTCCTCAGGGTCAGCACATAGAAGCTGTGGTCCATAGGAGGCCAAGGGTGCACATCAAACTGGAAACAGAACTTGGCAAATAATTTTTAAGTCTCCCACATGATACTGGTTTTGAAGACATGAAGAGGTCTTGGAGAGCAGGTGAGGCTTGGTACCATATAGCAGGGCTGAGTCACTGCAGAGAGGCCAGGAGGCCATTGGTGAATTGTAGCCTCAGTTATAATGGAAACCCAAGGACTGAAGGGGTCGTGGAGAGAAGCTGACACTTTGTACCATGCGACAGGGTCAGAGTCCCTGAATAGGCCAGGAGAGATTATTGGTGAAGGTACTGCCTCAGTTGCAATAGAGACCCCAGGATACTGGAGATGGCAGGACTATGGAATGACCACCAAGGACAGTGACCAGTATGGAGTGGAGTTGGCCTGAACCTATCAGACAAGCTGTGTTGTTTTGCAAATGGCAGAGCCCGAGAAGTGGGACTGCCCAAACCATTTGAAGCCCAGAAGATCATGAGTAAGTCCTAGATATTGAATGGTGAGCTACAGAATTTGATCTATACTGCTGGATTTTGAGTTTTGCTTTGATCTGATTGTTTTTATGCCCTGGTTCTTCCTTCTTAGATTAAGAAAGCATATAATTAAACAAATTTT